TGTTCACTGGAAGGGGCCTTCCCCTGCCTTGCTCCAGCCACGGCTGCCCAAAGGCCCGCGCGAAGTTGTTGGTTCATTTGAACAGTCCAAAAGGGAGCAGCCCATCCCCTGCGTGCTGCCCTCCTCGGCACCCAGCTTTCAGCCCTTGAAGGGTAGGCGTGCAGGCAGGCAGGGGCCTGGCTTCCAGGCAGGTGCTGAGCATCGGGCCGTGGCAGGGTCTCCCCTCAGGTTCCCCTCATAGACTTTAAGGTCAGAAGGGACCATTATGATGATCTAGTCTGACCCCCTGCACAGTGCAGGCCACAGAATCTCACCCACCCCTCCTAGAATAATCCTCTCACCTAGATCTCAGATATTGAAGCCTTCAGATACTTTTGAAGACCCCAAGATGCAGAGAATCCTCCAGCTGTGATCTGTGCCCCATGCTACAGGGGAAGGCGAAAAACCTCCAGGGCCTCTGCCAATCTACCCTGGAGGAAAATTCCTTCCCGACCCCAAATATGGCGATCAGCTAAACCCTGAGCATGTGGGCAAGACTCACCAGCCAGACACCCAGAAAGTTCTCTATAATAACTCCTATCATCCCTCCATTGACCTATTTCCCACTGATAATGAATGGTCAATTAGTTACCAAAATCATGTTCTCTCATCAAACCATCCCCTTCATAAACCCATCTAATTTAATCTTGAAACCAGATAGATCTTTTGCCCCAACTACTTCCCTTGGAAGGCCGTTCCAGAACCTCACTCCTCTAATGATTAGAAACCTTCGTCTAATCTCAAGTCTAAACTTCCTACTAGCCAGCTTATATCCATTTGTTCTTGTGTCATTTTTGTTTCAGTGCATCTCTGCAGATATCCGATGTGGCATTAAAAACATGGCAGGATGCGCTGTTAAATTCAGACATAAAAGACAAAGGATGAGTTTGAAATTTTGTCACCCTACAAAGCAGGGTGGTCTTGCTTGCCAATTTGGGTTGTTATTTTTATACATCACATTTAGAAGATGTGATTATGACAGATATTTCAACTGCATGCTGTATCTTTGGGGGGCATATAAAATATTCTGACTATGTACTATTTATGGGGGAGGCAGGCTGAGTTCTGGATTTAGCCATATTTAGTCAATTTTCCAAAAGTGCCTCATTGATTTAGGAACCAAAGACCCATTTTCAAAAGTGACTTTGTACTTGTTCCCACACAAAAGAAGTACTGCTTTAGTGCTTATGGTGGCAACCAATGTTCCCTCTAATCTTTTCCATTGGTGGGCAGAATAAATGTTATGTGCACCAAGGCATGTGCAAATGTGCGCCAAACACAAACCTAGCTGTGGGCACGCTGCTAATCAGCTGAGTGGCATTGGAATCTCTCCTCTGTGGCAGCACAAATGCTCAGTTTACAGGGAACACTAGTGGCAACCCATCCTCATGGTGTGGATGCAGTTATACAGGGATAAAGGTTTTAAATCACCAGAACTTAGTTCTATAAGGGAAGGGAAACGGCTGTTATGGTATAAGCACCTTTATTCTAGCATAACTGCGCCCACACACACACCGGGGTATGACCTGCTGTAGTCTCCCCTTTAACCAGTTGCTTATCCACCTCTCAACTTTCATATTAATCCCTATCTTTTCCAATTTAACCAATAATTCCCCATGTGGTACTGTATCAAATGCCTTACTAAAGTCGAGGTAGATTAGATCCACTGCATTTCCTTTATCTAAAAAATCTGTTACTTTCTCAAAAAAGAGATCAGGTTGGTTTGGCACGATCTACCTTTTGTAAAACCATGTTGTAATTTGTCCCAATTGCCATTAGCCTCAATGTCCCTAACTACTTTCTCCTTCAGAATTTTTTCCAAGATCTTGCACACTACAGATGTCAAACTAACGGGCCTATAGTTACCCGGGTCACTTTTCTCCCTTTCTTAAAAATCGGAGCTATATTAGCAATTCTCCAGTCAAATGGTACAACCCGAGTTTAGAGATTTATTAAAAATCATGACGGGGTGCGCTGTCCCAGAGCCCCAAGAGTAATGATGGAATTGCACAGCTGTTTCCCTCGGGGCTAGCAGTGCTGACTGAGGGGTGCCCAGTGTCCAGTGTGTTGGGGGCAGGGCCAGATTAAGGCATGGGCTAGCCGGGCAGCTGCCCGGGGTGCCTGATGGCAGCTGTAAGGAGCGTGCAGCACCCCTTATAGCTGCAATCAGGTGCCGCGCTTCTGGATCACGGGCTGCAGCAGCTCCCGGCGGCCACCCTGCAGCGGCCGCCTGGGGTGGGGGCTGCGTTAA